AATATAAGCAGCAGCAAATCCATAACATTGATTCTTACTGCTTAAGGGTTCCATTTAGTGACACAAATCGACTACAAGTATCGTTCTATCTTTCTTGGCTTTCAATGATTAACAAGGATAAAATGATACTTGCACCCTATGTCTTACTGCTTAAGTTTTTTTATGTGTCACAGCCCTAATTGACTATGATTGTAGATATTTATACTATTGTAACAGAGCATCCGAAAGATGCTCCGTTACTAGTGCGCGCTAATGTGGCCCGCGCCATCCGAGGCCGCCCGAACACTCCCGACCGCGACCGACCGACACACGCGCGCCGGCGAGCTGTCACGCATCGACGACGTGAGCTATTGTTTCTTAACAAAATGATAACCAACTAAACAGTGACACGTGGCGCGGATACGGGTATAAATACCCGACAAATTTTAAGAAGAGAGGAGTCCTATCCGCTTCTCCGACCTGTCCGTCACAGACAACCGTTCCGACAGAACAGCGAGAGAAGATTCTCTCAACGAATACCGAGCGTTCTCCATATTCCTGTTCTATCCTTTCTCGAGAATTCTGAGTGTTCTCAGCTTTCTCGCTCCGCAACGAATACCGAGCGTCCTCGATATTCTTGCTCCTCCCTTCTGGGGAAAAATCGGAGTGTTCTCAGATTTTCCTCCTCCCGACAATACCGAGAGTTTTCAGTATTGTCGCTCCATCTCGAAAGTCGGAGCGTTCTCGAACTTTCCCGCGACATCCGCCCCACGTGTCACGGCTAGCATCAACGGTTGCCTAGCAACACACACGCGCGGACCCGGTTGCTTGGCAACGCATATATCGATACGACCGGCGTCCGGCATATCCGTAATCGAATCGCGTTACGAACATCGCAAAGCGATCGACAAAGAAAACGGCAACGAACGACCGCGCAAAGCGAGAGGCGTCACGAATTTATTGTAAATGAATTAAAAGCCCGGCGATCGCAACACCTCTCACGAACCCGGCATCTGACGAGCAATAACCGAGCGCACGTCCCCGCGTCCGTGCCCAGAGATAAGATCCGAGCGCGCAGAGACGTACCGTTACACTATTGTAAACTATTTGTTAAAACTGTCTTTGAATTTGAATAAAGTTACCGTTTGT